CTAAAATCAAACTCTACATATAATTAACATTGTAATCAATATAATACATATATTTTATTTTACATAATTTTATTAAAACCTCTATTTTCAGGATTTTTTTATACAGAAACTAAACTATGAACTGTCTAAAACAAATCTAAAAAACTTAAACAAGTCAAATAAAAAAAATAACAAATCAATCAGACTCTTATGTATCTAGAACGATCATAATACTAGCTATTATTGTCACTTTATGCAATCACATGTAGAAAAAAAAAGTTTCAACGAGGTTTTTGACCAATGTTGCAAATGAGTATATCATGAACTAATATAAGGAAATTTCAAAAACATTCAACAATTATGTCAATGTAAGTAACAACACAATGTTTGCTTGATGAATATAAGTATTTTATGAGAATATATGTAGAAGATAAATTGATATATATTACGATAAAATAATTCTTTTAATACACCTCATGATTATGATCAATATTTTCACATTTTTTTTTTATGATTTTGAACCAATTACAAAGTTTGATATAATAAAAGATTGATATATAAGACTTATTAATTAATTATATATATATATATATATATATTAAAAGAACAACAAATAATGATAAGTTAGATTCATATATCAAAGGTAATATTGATTCTTATTAGTTTAATATATAAATGTGATCATCGACTAATTTAGCTACGTCAAACACTAGTAACAATAAAACTACAATTAATATTATTTATTATAATTTAATATGGAATAATTAATTCAAAGTAAAATTTATTAATTAAATAAATGTTATATTTTAATTTTATAAAAAATGCTTTGATTCTATAAACAAATGCTTACATGCATACTTATTTTGATAATCAATAATTAGAATCATAATTATTTTGTTTATTTTTTAAAAAGACGATAAGTTTTATAAGAAAACAAGAACAAATACCTCCCAACATTTTATGCGATGAGAAGAAATAAACATCAAAGCAGAGGTCACTCTACGAAACATGGACCTACACAACAACGGTAAGCAAAAAAGAGAGGTAAGAATACAGACAAAACAATCAAACGAGGACCAAAAAACCCTTTGAACAACAAATACTCAAGGACAACCATGCACGAACGCTAAAAGTGGTCTTCTAAACCACAAGGGTGGTGCCTGATTGGTTTGAGCTTGACTCCAAATGTCAAAAGTACCAGGAAGTCTCATGTTCAAATCCAATGAGGAATAAAAATCCCCTTGTAGCCACGGAGGTTCAAATGCGGTAACTCCGGGCTATTTACAAAGCAGGTGGTCGCCCTGAGATTAGTCGGCCAGCATAGCGGGTTGGATATCCAGATTAATAAAAAAAAACGGTCTCCTAAACTGGATCTTAGGTTGCAAGTGCCCAAGAAGAAATACAACCTTTTAAACAATGAATTAATCAACGAAACAATAAGACTTGAACCTCGAAGAATAAATCTGATTGAGGAGGAACTGAATCAGAGAACACCATTTTATTACAGAAAGTCCAAATCATGTATATAGAAGTCCAAAAGACCGTCTGCCACAACCTTTTTGTAGAAGGAAACGAAAGATGATGGGAATTTTGAAACGTTGTGAAATAGTTACTAAAATTAAAATTTTCATAATTTGATGGATTTATTAAAACGGAACGAACCTATTTTATCTACAAAATTAATCAAATAGTCGTATTTTTTAGACATTATTATGGAATAGCAAATAAATATGCAAATTGGCTCCAAAAATCTTTGCAAAATACAGTTCTTCTGTTTTTCATCTGGAGATATGATCCATCTTTTAACAGAAAACAGTTCCAGTCAATGACGGTTCTTTCACAGCTAGCAAATTAAGAGGACTTATCGAAGAAATCAATTCTAGGTACTTCAGACAATGGGGTCATAACCCAAGTTCAGGATTACGTTAACTATCTAGGCTTGGACTCCATTCATTGTTATGCCCAAGATGCGGATTGGAGGTTGAATAATTGGATCACTGTTTCGCATCATGTCCCAATCTTTTGCAGGTATGCGAAGGCTTTCAGAGATGGTGGGGAATGCCTTCGTCGACCCCTTTGACGCTCAACGACATTTTGGATTTCCATAATCGGGTAGCCTCACTTTTGTTACATGGAGAAGCACAATGTACAATCTGAACCGCTCTTTACGTAATTTGGAGAAATGGAAACAATACGGTTCTCTCTATTGGTAACCAATGTTGTAATCATTCAGACATAGTTTTTGACACTCAGCTGCTCTCGTTTTCTAGGCTTCGTCATGGTCAAAATGTCTTAATATCTCCTAGACTTCATGGTAATCGAGGAACTTTGGATACGATGCATATGAATAGATAAACATTGAGGTTACGAGTGCCATAATCACCAGTCGAAGGTGGTCTTTCTTGGTTTCTGGTTTTTCTTTTCTTTGGTTGATTTTGTTTGTCTAGGTTCGTGTCCGCACCTTATAGAAAAGGTAAGTGGCTAAGTCTCGTATCAAAATTATAAAATTGTAGTTTCTTTTTTTCTTCTGTGTTTTAATGATAACCAGTTATCTGGGTACTTAAATACTTAAAACTTTATATCTTAGATATCAAAATAAAAGTTTTAAAAATATGTTATCCAAAATAAAAATCAAGTTAAAATATGATACTCTATTTTTGTTATTTGCCAAAAAAGCATTAGAATCGTTAGAATTTCCTTTTGTAATAAATTGACGAAAGCCTCTCACTCCTATTAGCGTTGAATAAGATGGGTCCCACAAATCAAGGTCACCTGCTCCGGTTAGCTCTATCTTGCCGGAAAATCACTGCTCAGGTCACCACCCCCGGCACTGATTCCATCGTCGCTATGGCTTCATCCACCGAACAAGAATTCATGGCTCATTATCGATCCAAACTCACTACCTTTCCTAGATCCCACAAATTTTGGGACGCCAAAATCGCTTCGAGAATCGGTGAAAAGCTAGGGTTTCGTCTTAACGACATAGGTATCTCCCACCTCGAAATTGACCTTACGGAAGAGCTTTCACGGCCGATTCATTACCGGAAAATGGTCGTTCCGTTCTTTAATTCCGTCAAACGTGCTGGAATTAGCGTCCATGGTTCAGAGAAACTGGAATCGCAGGCTTAATACCACCTCAAAACTCATGGAAAAGAAGGTAAATTAGGGTTCATAGATATAGAAGCTCTGAACAACTTATTTTGAATTTCAGTGATCATATGTTACTATTATTAATTTTAATTATAATAATTAACATTGATGTAGTTTGTTTTTAGTTGCTATTTCTCAAGAACACCTGACGTGAAATCAATTCAATTCTATGAGGATGATATGCACTCAACGCTAATAGATTGAACATAACTATATAGGATAAAGGTTATGAAATGGTGAAATTTTGCTGAGGCATTTTAGGACTAAGAGTTGTAACATTGATAGAAGATTGATAATGTTGGTAATTTTAGTGAAATAATCGGTTCATTTTAAGTAATTGGATTTGCAAGAGAATATGGGGTTGGTTGTTAAGGTATATAAAGGGCTAGGAGGTATGAAGTACACACTTGTGTAAGCTAACAAGAACCTGAAATCACCGGTGCCATATGGTGGGTCAAAGGGGTCACGCCCTTTGCTGGGTCCTAGGGCCAGGGACTAGGGGGTGGTCCCACTGACCAATTAGCAGGCGGGGTTGATGGGGCTGCCCTAGTGGGGTTCGTGCAGCTCCCCAAAACCGTTATGCATTTCATGATGAGAAGTGATCGTTCAGAAGCTTTTATTCTGAAGTGAAGCGTCTGACACTGAAAGGAGTTAGAGCTCTAAAGCCTTTTGATCCGTATAAGCAGTTTGTAACCGTTGTTTGGTTAACCGCCACTAATTACTCCAGAAATCGTTTCCATTTATGGGGAGATATTCTTGGCATTATTTAGGAACAAAGTTTAAAAGGAAATGATTTCTGCCAAAATCAGGACTAAGATTTGAGATTATCCTCGAGTTCGTTCGTAGTACCCAAGCAAATTAGGGTCGAAATACAACTTAAGGAAAGCGAGGTTTCACACATCTCAAGTTTTTATCTGGGGTTGATGTCTACAATTTCTCTGTAATTTCGCGTTTCCTCCAACAGATACTGCCAAGAATCAATCAAGATTCCCTTTGCAATCACATGCAAGAAGATCATCTCAAATAAGGAAAGCAAAGCAAGATCCATCATTTATTCATGGGTAATTTTACTGATGGACACCTTGCTGGAGAAGGAGCATATTCAGTCAATTATTATCTATTAATATTAGCAGCTTAAAGACCTGGTCTGTACTAACTTAAGCACATGATCCAGTGAAGGACTGAAAGGTCTACATCCGTTACTACAATCCTTGTATGCGTAGTTGTTAAAAGCGTGCCTCAGGGCTGAGTCGCATAAGCCTCAAGAGGTTTGGCTTTTCTTTAAAAAAAGGTAACATACTGACATTATCTGAAATTGAGGAGTGACTACTAGGCAGGACTTTATTGAGCTATGTGTGATATTAATGGTATTTGAATATTGAAATTGAACTATGTTTTATATAATGCTATTTAAGTTGTGTGTAATTGTGTGTGTGTGTGTGTGTATTTGATAAGATGCACCTCGCATTCCTGAGTCCCGCACCTAAGCCCCGGGAACCCTCTATGCCTTAGTGCGCCCTGAGCCTTTAACCACTTGCTTTTATGTTCTTTTGACTGGCCAAAGATTGGAGACATTAGCATTCTTCCATTTCATTCTCATCTAAGCTCAATATGGTATTACTTTGTTCATTCAAGCCTGTCCTTGCTACCGCACACAATGCTATCTGGACCTACACCAATTGCCTCTCCTAAAACACTCTTGGTATAACAGTATTAGTCTTATTTTATATGTAATGCATCCAAAAGTCCATCTTTTTCCATCCGTTTTCATGGCTCGCATCCATTTGACACTCACAATTATTTGGTAGCTGCTGCATGTGCAACTACCATGAGTGAATTATGTGTATATCTGTATGTATGTACATATATAGTTATATGTACATATACATATATACATGTATTTACTTCTATGGCTTCGGAAAGTGATAAATCATGCATTCTTCTTTAAAATTAAATTGGCTACAAATAACATTATTCCTTTCAAGAGAGTGGGATAAAGAAGTATAGTAATATATTTTGGAGGAAATATAATCAAAAAATGTAAGCAGTGCCAACATTTTCTACTTCTGATGACAATTATTTACAGTTACTAAATCTCCATGGAAGGCCATAATGGCTTGTACATCCTAATTCTGAATTTAAGTTCCCCTTGAAGTGAATCACTTCTGCATTCTCTATCAACTTCAGCTTGTCTTTACTCTAAACCTTTAGGCCCTTCTTCCCTTAAATGTTCCAACCTTTTGCAATAGAACCTTTAAAGTCATGGAAACAGTCGGTCGCTCTACTCTTTAGGGTAGAGGTCGGGTCTGCGTACATCCCTCCCCTAGACCCTACTTTCGAGTGGGATATTGTTATACCCTAAGTAGTAATTAAACAGCCAATATAGGTGACTGTGGTTGGGGGTAGTTACTAGAGGGTCAACTAATATTTGGTTGGTTTTCTCATTGAGTCCTGTATGGATAAAGTTCCGTGGGGATTAATTTGTCTGTATAGATTGGAAATGTTTTTGTTTGGAGGGATTTTAAAGATGGAAGGAGAGTGTTTTTTAATTGGAAGGGGCAGGTTTGAAAAAAACTTGGCTTTCTGCATAAAGCCCCCTGAAAAATTACTGAATGAACCACATTCTATATCATTAAGCCACTGCCAAACAATCATGTACAATTGACTGAATAAGTTGTGAGTCTCGCATTAAGCTCATTAAGTTGCTAACAAACAGGCCCTTACTGTTAACTGCTCTGTATGTATCATATTTATATATATTGGTTTTGTTTGGTTTATCCAAAAACCAAGCTTCCATAGGGTTACAGTGGGATCATTGAATATGGAAAACAGGCTGCTTTGGATAGTTGCCATTTAAGACAGTGGAGTTGATCACCAACTGAAGCAGCCAGCAGACTATCTGAAACTAATGGTTTATCTGTCTCGTATTATTACGTCTTCTTTCACTTGCTCGGAAACTGAGATTAGAAAAACCACTGAACAGAGCTGGCAAAATAGCTTAGGAAATCATCTGACAGAGGTGGCAAGTGAGCAAAATACGCGAGAAATCCTTTTGATTTTATTTTGTTGGTGCTGCTATTAAAGAAGCAGAGTCGTATTGCCGCCAGTGGAAGTCCACAAAGCTTCACACTGTCGCTGGCGGAAACTCACCACCATATCATTGACACCACCACCACCACCATGGCACGCCAACGATTTTGCTGGCGAATTACCCATCATCTTAACCCTCAGTGTCCTCCATTGTCTATGGCTCACAGCATCTTATTGCATCAGTTCTTGAAATAGCTTGACAATCCAACTGGGTATTTCTATTAATGTTCCTTCTTTTCATGTCCCCTTCTTCTTTCTTGGATTAGGGTGGACTTGGTACTGTACCAAGTATTTTTTTTCCATTATCGTGTACCCACCAATTATAATTGGTACACAAAATCTTATACCGTGTATCAACCAACTGTACTTGGTATCAACTTTTTCCGGTTAGCACTGGTTTTGTACCAACTTCAAGTTACATATATGAAAACTGGTCATTTTGTTCAGATTTTGATTGACATTTTGAGTTTTCAGGTAACACATATGATGTGTAGGGGTTTTTAATTGTAAGGAATAAGATTACAAACATTAAAATGTTCAAACAAAATAGTTAAAGTTACAATATTTTTTTATTCAAGACATAAAAAAATACAAAACTAATAAATAATTAAATAAGTCGATACGATGGTACTATCATGGTACAGATTTCCAATACTCTATATCAACCAATTTTATATACTGATATGGTTTTATCAACCAACTGTAATTCGTACCAACTAAATTGATACGATTGGTACACATGTTAACCTTGATACAAAATCGCCACCCCTACCTTGGATCGAGTGTTAAATAGAGTTGGGGTTCTTATGTGCAAGGAAATGTAATTTAAAGGGTTATGGTTGGATGATGACAAGTGGTTTGCAGGTCTTGCCATTTTGGTAGCGTGTAAATTACATGTTTAGGAGATGTAGTGGAAATCTTTTCTACTGTGAGTTCGACTTTAGGCGTTGCCAAAGTGCTTGTGGCTGTAGATGTTCACCTGCACTGCATTAGTGCATTGACTCCACGTCATTCTTGGTCATCCGAGGGATTAGTCGATGAGCATAAGCTGGTCCGAAAACTCACAGTTACAATTTACCCTAAAAAATAATAATCCAGGGCTTATGTTATTTTATGATTTTCTTATCTTGCGAGTTACTAGTTGTTAACAATTTATTGATTGCTATTGATTTTGATTCACAAGATTTCTTTAACTTTTTTTAATCATAGAGGGTATGCCGGTCATGCTTTTATTAGAATCTTCAACATATTCTCCAAGATAGAGATCACAATTCAAATAGATTCTCTAATTTGGGAATTACGTCATTAAAATATTCCATACATGGTAATCAAATGCCCTTATGGTAATCACATTGTTTGTTGTTTGTTTACGGCCAAAAGAAATCACCTTTGATTACCTCGTCATCCAACATTCTCGCCCATCAAAATGAATTGTCGGTAAACGTCTTCAACCCCGTAAACACTTACCGAGTAAGACTTTTGTGACGCTTAATTGGTAAATTATATTGATAAACGTGTATTTAATATACGGAACCTAAAGCTCAAAGTTATAAAATTTGGTGCTTATGAGAATCTAATTACAAGGATGGACCATTCACATTACAATGAGTTGATTGTTCATAAAATTAACAATAACAAGAGTAAACTACAAATTTGGTCCTTGTGGTTTGTTGAAAATAATACTGTTTATTCCTCTACTTTCAAAATTATAAGATGGTCATTATGGTTTGCAAAAACGTAGGATTTGGTCCTTTCCTCCAACAGCTGTTAAAAATTCCATTAAATGAAGAGCATTTTGTCATTTTCTCGATTTTTTTGTCTTTTACCCAATCAAAATCGATTCTATGATTTTGGTCCCTATGGCATTTGATTGGGTAAAAAAAAAAAAAAATCGATAAAATGATGAAAATGTCCCTCATTTAACTGGATTTTTTAACAGCCGTTATAGGAATGGGTCAAGTTTTTTGATACCACAATGACTATCTTATAATTTTGAAACTACAGGAATAAAAAGTATTATTTTGAACAAACCACATGAACCAAATTCATAGCTTACTTTTATTATTAACTTTTTACAAAACATAATAACTATCTTGTAATTTCAAAACTGGATAAAAATTGTTGTTTTCACAAACTGACATGTAAGAAATATGTAGGCTACTTTAATAATAATATATTATATGGAGTCCAAACAAACAACAAACAATGTGATTTAACATATGATTTCCTGCTGCTTTAGGTGACAATTTGACATCCAACTTACTTGTGGTAAAGAATACATCCCTTGTACATTTTACAACATTACCAAAACCATCACCACCTTCTTCTTCTTCTTCTACTGCCTCATGTATTGAAGCATCCAATGAGGCATCACCGATTTACCTCTCTGTGTTTCTTCCATTATTTCTCCTTCTTCACCGCCTGCCCCGTAAATCTCACTGCATTACAGTCACGCGATTCATCACATATCATGTTACGTTTTTCTCCATCCCTTCCGATTGAAATGACTCTATATTAATCTCTCTCGAAACAAGACCACACACTTCCTATCTCTCTTTTTCGTTGTTGAAGTATCTAATATTTATATATGACAAATAATAACGCACACTTCTCATTTGAGATTTGAACGGAGAGTGCTACTTGTATCGTGGATACCATTGGGCCAAATGACCCTCCGAMCGCATTTTAATTTGCCTATACTTTATAAAACAATTTCAAATTCATGCAACAACAGGAGTTTCTGTTTTCTTCATTCTAATATGTTATTATTACAAATTATTACTGTAAGAACTAAGAATATATATATATATAGAGAGAGAGAGAGAGAGAGAGAGAGAGAGACTTGGGATCACGTGAGACCAGCTTTTTACATTTGAAGCTTCACAGCAAAATGTTGTGAAGGTAACCTTCACAGTGTTTTTGCTGTGAATGTTTGACTTTTTTAAACCTTCACAGTATTTTTGCTGTGAAGTTTCAAGTGTAAAAATGTGGTCTCACAGGTCTCACGAAAACAGTCTGGTCTCACGTGAACCCAAATATATATATATATATATATATATATATATATATATATATACTAGAAGCGTACTCGCCCAATGCAGCAGGATACATCGTGATTTTAATATTTCATTTTATTTTTTATCTCAGTCGATGTTATAATATGGCTTTATGTGATTTTGTGAAAACGATGATGTTTTTATTTTTGAATAAAATATATGTTTAAAAATATCATAAAATTTTGACAAAAATATATCGATATTAGTATCAAATAAACTATTTGAAATTCCTCATTTTTTGTGTAATTTTTTAATTCAATTTTTTTATAATTTAATTTATGTACAATAACGAAGTAATTAATATTTGGTTTGATAATATAATTTTTTTATAAAGATAATAATTATTTATTTTGTTGGAACTCGATAATTATTCTAATTATATTTTAGATTTTTTATATTTTAAAATGAGATGTTCATCCT